GCCAAATGGAATACAAATCAGTTCCTACTTAGTCGTAAACACTTAAGGCTCTTGAACAGTTGCCAAGTTAAATTTTCTGGCACGTGCCAAGAAACCACAAACCAAAAGGCAGCCAGCAGAGCCCATTCCCAAACTCAAACCCGAACCCAGATCAAACCTCAAGAATCGAACGCAGTTACACAAAAGGGCAAACAAAACACGGTTCTTGGTGGATACTGAATTTAAAGACAATTCTGTGTGTGACAGAGCGGACTTGGGTCCAGTCCGCTAAAGGCAAATATTACAATGGCAAATTGTAGTTTTGAAGGATGCAGCCTTCAGTGTAGGGCGTAGGTGAGTGGGGGCGATACGGAAGGAGCCGAAGAAGATGGGTTAATATCCATGTCGGAGTCTCACCACTCCGCTCCAGTCCAGTCCTGGCCCAAACCAACGGGTCAGACCGGGTACGATGCTCAAGTTAAGCGAAGCGCATGCATACTGAATGTGCAGAGCACTACTTGTCCAGTTCCACGTCCACAGACTCATATGACTTTGCATCTGAATTCAGGAGGTAGGCAGCCAGCAACGCAGGCAGTCGGACGGGCAGCCAGGCGAGGTGGCTTGTAAGTTATGCCATTCGTAACTGTCCCATTGACGGTTTGCCAGTTGGCAGTATAAGCGACTCGTTAAAATTTCAGCCAAGTCACGTGGGTCCATCCATGTCCGCGCGTCTAACGTCTAACTAACTTCCGTAATCAAATAAATCTTTCATTTCGAACCTATGCACCTTGGAATCCTATAGCTCTGCCTAGGTAAAACAACTATCTTTCAACTTTTCCACACATATCCTCATATTTGATAACCTTGCTTCAACTTACAACAAAATTAGTATTCAGAGAAACTAAGACTTCATCGCTCAAAATAAATTAACCTCATTTCCTTATTTAAATCTACAACAAGGCGAAGGCCAAGCTTCATTTCGCTCAGTTCCAAACCGAGACAACAGCCAACGGAGAGGAAGGACAATCTTGGAACGTGCGCCGACATAAATTTGGGGAATAAATGCTAGAAACTAAAATAGACTTCAATTTTATAGACAAATTACGTGGCAAGGCGTCGAAATGGGCTCGTTTCGCTGGCAAATGGCGTTGTGAAACTTTAATAGCAGTTAAAACACAGTATATTTCTATAGTGACTGCTGAAATGTTTTTGAGTTTATTATTGCTGACTGTATCCAAAAACATAGTGGCTCTGCACAAGGAACTTTTTAAATTATATTTATATTATATTAAATTACATAAAATTCTACTAAACGATCCTCCTTTTGGATCACAAAAGATGGTCTTTTATCTATTAAATTGAAATAAATATCTGTGATCTTTTACGATTGCTCTCTTTTGCGTCACACGCCACTTATTTCCTAAAAAGTTCCTCGAAAAAGTCATTGCCATGATGGCTTTAAAAATCCCAATTAATATGTTATCAACGAGAGGCCAAATGTCGCTCATAAAATTCAATCAAAAGCTTTTCGGCGAAAGATTACGGCCATAAAACTCACACGAACAGAACAACCATAAACTTTTACAACACAGAAAACAAGAAGGAAACAAACAAATACAAAGCTCCTATCAAGATTTCAGCTTCAAATGATGTTCATTTAGGGATCTCGATTTGATTACACTGAAGCAAATTGCAAGTGACGTGCCAACAATTGGGTTGCATGCTGCGTCATGCCGAGGGACATGGTCATTTGTGGCAGAAACAGGCAATCGAATCGTCTTAAATGAACAGGGTCAACCACAAAGTCCCAAGACTGATAAGCAGGCTAAGGACAAGTCATCCCTTTCAATACGAGGAGAAGGAGCATCAACAGCATCTGGAGGAGGACCCACCAAATCAATGGACTTAGATGAGAGACCATCGACAAGTGCGAGTGCGAGTGGGCGAGCAGTTGGCATATCAGGCTCTTCCGGTATGAATGCATTGTCGGCACCGGAAACGGCGACCGTGCCTGCGGCTGGCAACAGCAATGCGGAGCAGCCACCAACATCATCCCCTGCCACACCATTAACGGGAGCGGCATTGGGCAAACCCAATGATTGGGTTGTTATTCCTGTGTTTGCGGATATTGTTAAATTGGCATTGGGCGAAAGGGAGAACTGTTTGCAGCGGTAAGTTGAATTTGCCTGGAACCCTCCCAATTGGATTGATGTTACATCATTACTCATCCTGATGCTATACGATGCCTTTTCTACCGACGAGAAATAAACATGGGCACGTATTCGTATAAGCCCATTAAATAAAACTCCAATGCAAAAATCTAATATTGTTGATCCCATTTAATCGATTGGCTTTTATAGAAAAAGAGTGAACAAAATTGTCACCAACGGTGTCCGAATTTCTATGTAAAGCAGCATCGGCAAAAAGCGTACCGTTTAATAGTAGTTATAAAATAAAGAGGCCGCACCAAATCCAGTGCCAAAAAAATCGCCAAGGGGTCGTATAATTAATATATTACTCATCCGCATCAGCACCCACAAGCAATTGGATTTCGCACTCGGTTTTCGTTTGACAATATATATTCCTGCACTCATTTATATTTATATTTATTTATGTTTCAAATTTAATTAACCGCAGAGTGGCCAAATAAATGGCGACGAGAATAAAAATCATTTTCATGGCAGCTCAACTCGTAAAAAGGGACTATAAATAGGTTTTCTTTTTTTACCATTACTTATTTTTATATCATTGAATGGACGCGTTGAAGGCAATAAATATGTACACATATATTTGTTTTTCTTATTTTGGAGCATTTATTTTCAATTGACTTTTAAATTGTGTGATAGAAGCAAAAAAAATGAATACAAATTCAAGCTAAATGCTGTTTTTAATTTGCTTTAAATTATAATGCTTCGACTATTTGTTTTTTGTTTGGTAAATATTATATTTTTTTGTGCCTTCGATAGGAAATGAATATTGAATTGAAAATAATGTTAAAGTTGGAGTTTCCTATTAATTATTCGATTGGTGTGAATACTTTTTGCTTTAAATTTACTTACTTTTCCGTAATTGAGAAATTTAATTGAAAACTAAATGAAAATGCCACGAAACGACATAGGTTGCTGTGCAGTTTCCTATCAGTTAGTTCATCTGACTGACTCTCATTGCTCTTGGGTGAAATTTTGTCATTTAATGAATGCCATGCATCCCTTAACCACGAAAACTCCCATTATCAGCCCACTACTCTTCCTGTAGTCCCTTCATGCGGTAGTAGTCCCTTTGGGAAAAACGATACCGAGCGGAAACAAACAATACAGAATGCATCGGCAACCAGGGCACAGTGGTCACAATAGACCTCATTAGGCACACACGCACACCAGCTCTCTCAGACATTGAAACGAGCACGAGTATATGTATATGTATGTATGTATAGAGTAGTATGGCAATTTATACTGAATTATAATCTGAGCGCAGTAAGAGGGCAACTTAGATGTGCCTTTCGACTAAGATATACTAACATTTTATTTTTCTTTGCTCTTTTATATTTAGATCTGATCTAATGACCTCCTATAGTCTGCGACAAAAGTCCCTAACAATTCAGAAGAAAACCGTTCAGAAATACTTAATTAGGAAACCCCATGAACAGGTTCTATAGAACTACCTACTGAGCGCATTGAGAACTTCAATCATGCCAAGAGAAATACCTATTTTGACACCAACATTTGAGCGAGTACAATATAAACTTGAGCTTAAAGTCCTTCAGGATCTCTCCATTTATCACAGCCCAAAGGATAACACCCATCCGTTCTCATTCTCCTTCTACAACCCATTCTCCCACAGATTTGTCGCTAATTAATTCAAATTAATAACCGCAATAAAACCTCAGACAGACACTTTAGAACCAAAAGAATGTGCCAGAGCTTAGATAAAACTTGTCGCAAGACCTTCTGAACCACTAGCCCAGCCCCAACTCTCCTAGCCTTTACTATTTATTGTGTGGGACGAAGTTGTCAAATATGAGAGCCTTAATAATATAAAACTACCAGCACAAATAAAAGGTTACGAAATTTAATTTGAATTAGTATGCAACAGGCGGATGAAATTTTAAAAGAAGTTCTCCACCAAAAAGGCAGGAAAAACTCCAACATTAACTTCAATTAATCCGCAAATTCGCGACTTTATTTGCAGTGTAAATAAACTGGAAAACTTCACATATCTCCAGGCACCAGACGGCACAACAAAGATATAAAACAGCTCCACAGAACGGGCAACATTCAACAAAAACTACGTTTCAAACGCAACAAAACTTGCAACAAAGTGCACCACGTGTAAAGATTTTTTTTTATTCTTTTTATATCCTTCTTGGAGCTGTCAGGCATGCCCAGCAAGTTGATATATTTTTCACGGAATGTGCACATGACAAAGAGACCTGAAAAAATCGCCAAACTAAAGACAGAAAGGGAGAAGGAAGAGGTGGCGATAAGTAGGAGAAATATGTTGCATGAAAGCGGGCAAAGAAAAGAAACAAGAAAGGGGAGAAATTAAAGGTCCCAGCACAGATAGAGACCCACGAACTCATTATAAAACCCATGCGGAATAAGGCAACTTTTGAAGGCTCTTTTTATTGGAAAAAAACAACTACCAAAAGCATACAAAAATATTGGGATTGTTAGGGGAATTAATAGATAACCTGTCAGAGCTATGTTTCTCAATAGTTTTTATTCCAGCTTTATACGAACAAAATACAGAAAGACTGTCATTCATGACATCTTTTCGAGCTAACCCTCTGCTAGGTTTAAAAACCTACATGTTTTTTGGGTGCTGTGACATAAATGAACAACATGAATGAAAACTTGTGGAGGAGGGCATTTATGTCTAGTAATCCAGCAGCCTCATCCTCATCCACAGCCCTGGCCTGGGCCTGAGCCTGGGACGAGAAAACTTTATCGGTGAGTGCTTGACTTCAGCATAATGGCGGAGGCAAATGAGATTTAATGGGTAACTGAGTAAATTATACTTACCTTTGTGATAAAATTGGTTTGGTAGGGAGGGCTCTTCTGTAAAAATATTTTTAAAAATTTAAGAATACTTTCTTACAAAAATATAAACGGAATGTTTATGCAAAGTATTCAATTAGCGAATAAAGCGTAAGATTATAAAACACAAACTATTGAGGTATATAAAATATCCTTAGAACTCTTGAAAGATTCCAACAAGGTAACATCATTTAATTTATTGAATATTTAGACGAAGAAAGTGCTCCAGAAATCAATTTCATGGGCTTTCAAGAGTGCAGAAAAAAAAATACAAGCAAGAATAATAAGAATTGAACTTCATTTAAACACCACAGTGTATCCCAGATTCCTTCTGTTTGAGGCTTTAGGTTGAAGCCAAGTTATAGTTGAAAGTTAGTCTTGTTATTGTGGTTATATTTGTTTTTTTGATGTCACATCAATGAAAAATAGCTGTTTCTCACTGTCTTCCACACAAAAAGTCAAATGCTCTTTTTCCCCCTATTTTTGGGTTCCATTCTTGTGCAGTGGTTGTAGTTGTTTAGCTAAGCCAACCGAGCATCTTCTAAATCAGTTTTCACAGCATATAAACAAAGAAAAAAACTGTCCAGCAGGTCAGAAAAGTTTAGCTAAACTTTAAGCCAACGTCAGAAACGTAAATGGAAAAGAAGTCCCTGTGAAATATACGAATAAAATTTTACTTCCAAGTTTCGATGTACTTTCGAAAACTGCATAAACAAATTTTGGGTTTCGCTTCTATTTTGGGGTGTCGTTGTACCCTAAGTCCTTCACGCACACTAACACTCTACGCTATCGGATGTTGGTTTATGGTAAATGCTTTTTGAATTAAGCCAACATATTGACCAACGGAATTGGGGCTGACGAAAGGAAGACTGTGGTTGATCCTTTGAATGAATGAATACTGGCTAAATTGAGACCCTGGCAGAGCCACCAGCTATTCAGCAAGTAGCGTTATTCAACCACCACAGCAGCCAGCGGAAGCGGAAGTATAGTAAAGCGCCACCTGCTGGCAATAGACAGATAATCATTGTAGCAGAAAGAGGAAACAAAACAACGGCTTTTTGGATGAGAATTATAAGGAGACGAAGTAAGAGCAGCAAGAGTTATGACTATATATAGATAAGCTCGTACTCCCACAGACAGCGAGCCACAGGAAGAAAAGAAGAATGGAAAAAACTTTTATAGACTGTCTGCAAAATTACACGGCCTTATTCAGCTTGCTGGACTCCATCATGTTGGCTTTGTTTTTTCTAATATTTAATCCTTTGGCACCGGATAGACTTTTCAGTTTATTTAGCCCCTTATTGATGCCAGTTTTCCCTAAAGAAGTAAACAAGTGCTTATTATCAGTTTCTATCGGTTTAAGCAACAACATCACTTGAGTGGAGCTCTTTGGCGAATTATTTACACTTCTCTCTTCCTTTTTTACAACCCGCTCACTTGTGCCGAGAAATTTGTTCTCTATGGCAGGAATTTTTTCATAGCTAACCCTAAACCTCGTCCTGGTCTCTTCCAGACGCTCTTCACCATATTTTATAAATATGAAATCAATATTAAAAATACTCTCTGCCACACAATAATATAAATGAATTAAAAACACTAACCATCCCAACAGACAGTAAACATTTTTGAGTAATTAAAAATATGAAAGTGATCCGGCAGACTGGACCAAAAAACAAACATTTTCCGGATAAAAGTTTTTGACGCAGTAAATCCCCAAAGACCCAAATAAAAATGGAAATTTTAGCTCGCTAAAAACTTCTCAGTACAGAGAGCGATACCGATTGAGCTGGTGTATATCTGAAAGTGTGTTAAGTGCTTTTGACCTGAGGGCAAAGACGCGAAAACTCAACGAAAGTTCCAAACAAATTTTAATAAATATTTAAAATGGAATAGGACCTTTTTCGGTAGACTTAAATATAGTACACTTCGAATGGTGGTTCAAATTAAACTGTAGGATTCTTATCTCTTCAGGCTTCTAATATTATATTCCCTATTATTCGTTTAGTTGATGCTATATTCCATGGTCATTCACCTGGGTCTTAGCATGTCGAATGGCTAGACTTGTGTCTAGATACAGCTCGCACTAAATGCTTTTGCTCATGCGAACAAATTGCTACAGGTAACTTTATAAATGGTATCGCAGACTTGCCATGTTTTCATATAAATTAAATCCTAGTAGCTGGTCAAAGTGCTCGAAACTTTGCGGGCAACACTTGCTTTGTTATTTTATTTATTTTTGTGGCAGGGCCAAGACGTTGCACGGAGTCGTGCAGACCAGGATATTTATGTGCCACACTTGTTACACATACGACATGTTGGACGTTTGCAGTGGCTAAGACAAATCGATTGCTGTTGGTGGCGTGCGCTGCTTTACTGTTAGCCACATCTTTTATTGCAAAAAAAAAAAACTTGCAGGGGAATAAATAATTGAACACTTTGTTGCACTCGCCGCTGTCATGCAACTTCCGACCATGTTGTATTTCAACTCAAAGATAACAAAGTTGATATGGGATTTAAGGAATTGACATGAATTGTGGGTTTTTTCGAGCGATTAAAAATTGTGTTTACCAAAAATAGTGTTTACCAGAAGCTTCATATCCCACCAGCTAGGTGGCAAAGGCACAGTTTGACCATTGAAAAAAAAAACCAAAGAAAAAGTGTCCAAAAAGATGAATGAGTGGTTTGGTTGATTTTTTAATGATGGCACGAAAATCTGTGAATTTCAAAGAATTGTTTATCAACCTTTAATTGTAGAACATAACATATGTATATTTCCAGTAATATCCCACCATAGTTTAATTAATGGGCAATGCGCATTTTGCGCCCTTTATAATTTATTTTGTACCATTAATGAAATTATATTTTGTTGGGGTAAAGCCAAATGCAGTAAATTTAATTGACACCATAGCGAAAAATGAAATGGAAATGAATTAAGTATTTTCACGTAATTACAAACCATTTATTAAGTTTATGGTCTGGCAATACATTATGAAACCTTTATGGGGCCCTTTCTGAGGATTCTAGGCACAGTAATATTGTGTAATTGTGATTGCTTTTCACTTTGAAACTGGTAAAAATTAAAAAAGAACAAATTGTATCTAAAGGTAAATAAATAAAGAAAATAAAATAATTATACGTATAAATTTTTGAGTGCTGATAATTGTACCTCATGTAGGAATATCCGCCAGAGACTGCAGTAAGTGCATGGTATCTCTTTGTCGACAAACTTAACTATTTTTTTTTCTTTTCCTCACAGTGCGCTATGTCTCTGATCGTTCCTAGTCTCTTGACGATAAGAAGAGCAAATAAAAATACATGTGAAACGGCAAAGGTATGTAAGCCATGACCTATTCTGCTTTCATTCTGCTTTGCATTCCTGACCTGTTTTAATTCTCAGCCCAAAAATCTGCCCCAAACACAAATCCAATGTTTCTTCCGGAAATCAACTGTCCTTTGTTGGTGTTCCGGTCCGTCCACCTGCACAACCGCAAAGCAAACAAACAACACGTTTCCGTTTATGACTGGCTATTCCCCTTGTTCGTGGGGTTTGTCTGTGCTGAAAGTCAGCGACATGAAATTGCTTCCTGGGAGTTGCCAAAATCTGAATACATAATTTAGGTTCGAATGTGCAACAGATTTTAGTTTGCTCAACAGCACTCCATGTCGGTCAATCCCCATAGTTTCTAACGAAATAAAACAGTTGTCAGATGAGCTTTCAACGAGCTGTCAATGCAGCTGTCGGGTTGGAGGAATGTCCTGGAACAAGGCATGATTCTATGTGGCTTCTAATTCTGATTCTCTATATATATTTCCCTGTTTATTTTTGAACGTTCTGCCTAGAGTCCCACACAGTGTGGGAGAACGAGAGTATACCCCGTCCTGGGTAAATATGGAAATCCTGCATCGCAGTAGTGAAATATTTCGCCCATCCGCAAACGTTTACTCTGGAGCATAATAGATGCCTAAAAATTCTATTTTGGTTAGTCTTGCGATTTCCCTCTTTTTGGAACATACAAAAATATTTATAAAGAAGCTTGGATGGGAATCAAATGCGACATAATGGTATTTGCATAATGGATTTTTAATTGAATTAGGGGTCCCGACACAAAACATTTGTCGTACCAAAACAATAAAAGATTCATGTCGAATGGTCAATAAAATGTGCAAACAATAAAGTTTATCACTTGAATATTTTTTATGGAATAAGTAATTAAATTGAAATGGTTTGAAATCCGATTTTTTTTAGAAATGGTGCTCTTCTGGTAACGGCCCCTCTTCTAGATGTTTATGGTCAGGTCCAGGTATGTTGCTTTGCCTGCTCCAGAGGCTGAAGTATCTGAAGTATCATTGTTTACTCATCCTTTAAACATTTGTGGTATTTGCGATGCAAGCCGTTGTCTTTCCGGGCCAGTGAGCAAAATCCCATTTGCCAAATAAATCTTCTAGAGTGCGACCCTTCCAACAAATTTCCATCACTCAATTACACGGCTTCGCTATCATATCCCAATGGGACCAGAATGTGACAAAAAAAAGCCAGTTACAAGCCACAAACTAAGACTGTATTTTCGTCCTCAAAAAGAGTAAATGGGTCTATTAAATAGATGTGTGCAACGCCCAGAAGGAAACGTTTCCGACTCCATAAAGAATATATATTCTTGATCAGCATTAACAGTCGAGTCGATAGAGCCATTTCTGTCCGTCTTGTTTGACGCCTTGTTCTCAGAGCTAAAAGAGCTAGAATAAAGAATCCCTACTCCTTCGTTATCGCACTGATCATTTTCTATCTCTCTGTCTCTGGCTGAGATGAGCCATACTGACTGAGTATCGTTGTATACAAATTTTACCTCTGTCGTCGCTGCATATATCTGAAAAACAGATCCCCGCGAACAGCTGCTTGATCTTGAGCTTGATCTTGGTGGATTCCTGAACTTGGGGCTGTCGATTGTTTAAACTTTATCGCTGTAGCCAAGCAAATTGTTTAGCTTTGCTTTGGTGCCACATACAATTAATAAACGCCAGAG